CATAGAATTTAAATGTTAAATTAACTAATCTTTCTTGGTGACTTGCTCTCTGAAGTATCATGCCTGTGAAGAGCATTTGTAATCTCCTAAATAATCTTTCCCCATGCTGTCGCTGTCTCCTCCCGTTGTTCATCGATTTGCTTGAGTGGGCCCAGTAACATCTCCATCATGAGACTCGTTGTTACAGTGTTTGGCATATTGAGTACGTCACGGGTAGCTTGCCAGGCTTTGCTGTGCGGGCGAGATACTCTCGGTAGCTTGCAGGGCTCTCCGAGAGGGGCAGAGGAATCGAATTTAGGTTGGCCATGTTGGCCGAGTGCAAGGCAAACGCCCTACCACTGTGCTATCGCTCCAGCCCTTCCCCATGCCGAGATGTCCTTACAGTAGTTTTCGAACTTTATGTAGTTCTTACTGAATTCTGTGTAGTTTTATGTAATGTATTTGAGAATGAATTGGACAGAGGTCTATACCAAAGTTCAAAAAGTAGTATTCATTTACTTATGAGTAATCTTAAATTTTCTTTTAAATACACGTCTTAAAGCCCTTGCATGCATGAGACCCTGGGTTTGACCCCTAGAACTGCAAACATAAACACATAGAATAAAGTATAGGTTTTAGTCTCAGAGTTGGACTGGGGGGAGGGGAAGATATGCAGGTTCTAAATGTTCTTCAGAAACACAATTTAGATAAAATAAATGTACACACAGGAACAGGAAAGATAGATCATTATATCTGATAGTCTTGAAAACATAAACTTCTGAAGACTTTTAATCCTAGCTCTGACACTTCCAGTGTAACTTTAAGCCGTTCAACAATCTTTGGTGAAATAGTTCCCAGTTTTAAAAAATAATAAGTGTAGTTTTTTTAAAGCTGCACTCAAAAAATTTTTTGAAAAAAGAATTACTCAAATTCACTAGAATACATGGGATAGAAGTTGGCTCAAATCATCTTTAACTTGGCTTTTCCAATGGAACCAAGCTTGAGTTCTCAACTTAATTCTTTTTTTTTTTATAATTTATTGCTTTATTGAATCACTGTGGGACAAGTTTCAGAGCTTTTGGGTTTAGGTCTCAGTCATGTAAATATCAAACACATTTCCCTTTACCAATGCTTATTTTTAACCGTGAACCCCAATAGAACCCCACCTCCCACCCCTCCCAATTCCTGTGAGGCAGATGAGTTCTAGTTAATACTCTATATACTTTGACTAGATACATTGTTTCGATAGAAGATGCACAATTATTGTTTAGAGTTTACGACCCCCCCCCCCCCAATCAGACATGCTAAAACAGCGTTGTGAAATGATTTGCTTTCTACAACTTGGTTTAAGAATAAAATGATGTCACTATCGCGGCCACGTGGTTTTGGATTTCTGCTATTTTACTTATTAACCCTGGAAGAATTTCTATTAAAAGTTAGATAGTTAAGAGATTGGTTTCTGTGCTCTGGAGTCGTGGCCGTGCCGGAGAGCCGCTCGTGGGGGGCAGCTGGCGACCTCGGTCGGGCGTGAAGGACAGCCCATTACGCCCCCCTTCCCATGAGGTCCCTGCCACTCCCACCACCCCCGGCTCAAACCTGCTGTCCACAAGGCTCCCGTGCGAGTTCTCAACTTAATTCTAGAAAGTAAATATGGTACCAGAAAATTCCAGAACAAAATCACTGATACATTTTACAGTTTTCGTGAAAAGAATAAATTACTGTTTGCTATTTTCTGTTCTATTGAACTGAGGTCTTCAGAGTTTTCAGCTGAAAAGCAATTATTGATTTGATATACTAATTTTTTAAGGTGCTCATTTTCAGAAAAGCAGTTTTACTGTATTTGTTTTCTAAGAGGATTATTCTTGTTCTCAAGAAGTAGGACCGCAAATCAAATCCTAAATTGGAGTATGATGTACATGATAAACATTTAATATAGTCTTTGCTCTTGCAAAGTAATTTTGCAGAATATTGTTTATTCTGTACATAATCTTCCTTATCTCATTCTCTTTGAAGAAAAACAATTGATTTTAACAGTACAAAAAAGAAACTATCTAAACAAACTGAACACATTTTCATTATCACAGTAGTTATAAGCCCAATATACATTATTAGAAGAACATTACAAATTTATTGTCAAATTATGCAGCTGATGTAAAGCAAAAATTGCAAATTGGATGAATCAGGTTTTTTTTAGTTTCTTTTATTTTGTGAACAATGAACTTACTCATCCCTGCGCTTGATTTTATTTTTGTCCAAAAAAATATGGGATGTTGGGAATCAAACCCAGGTTGGCCACGTGCAAGGCAAATGCCCTACCTGCTGTGCTATCTCTCCAGCCCCAAAACTTTTAAGAACTGAAAACTAAAAACTAAAAAGTTGAAAGAATTAAAATAAAAGAGAAAGTGAAACCCAAACCTTAGTCCAAACTTAAAATGATTTGTTTGGTTTGCATTTCATTGCAGTCTTCCAGACTTTCTTGTTATAAATGCATGCTCAGTTATCTTAAGCCTAACTTTGCTCTGTATTTGCCTTGATGTCATTCATTGTTCACATGGCTTGAAATGGTCTGTAATAACAACAATAATGATAATAATAATGACTCCTGATGTTCATCACCAGCTCTTGCATTTGTTAATGTCAAGAATAAGTCAGATGGACAGTAGTTCAGGTGCTAAAGACAGATTTTTCCTCATCAGTTACTGTTGTTATAGAAAGGGGATCCAGGCTGAAGTAGAACTCAGCAGAATGCCAGAGACCTTTTGAAGCCCTGAAGGCTCTAAGGACCAGAGAGGGTGTCTTTTTTAAAATTAATTAATTTTTTTAATTTTATTGAATCATCGTAAGATCAGAGAGGGTGTCTTTGGTGGTGCCCTAACCACCTTTATTGGCCCTTTTCTGGAGGGAAAATGGTCTTCTCTGAACCTGAGGGCAGGAGACAGTGACACAAGTTGAAGCAAAGTGTCTTTGAATGTAAGAAGACAGTTCTGGATGGTAGAAGGTTTACATCTCAGAGTGGCAGAGAAAGATGATAAATTGCACACTTTCAAAAGTAACTGCAACTAAAAGCAACTCAAGAGCCTATCCAATATACCCAGGTTTGGGTTTGAGTAACATTACCATGAGCACTGATGTTACTTAACCTTGTAACCTTGTTTTGAGGCAGTTTATTCATCAGTAAAGAAAATTAAAATATCTCAATAATAGAAATGTGTTTTGAGGATTAAAGAGTTAAACGGGTAATGATGTTGAGCAGTTTATTACACAGTAAGCTGTAAATTACTGTTAAGAGCTTTAAAATGGACTTGTAGTATCCAGCTACTATGGGCTTCTTTAGGTTATTAAATTCTGCTGCTAAAATATCAATGTCTGAGAATTGTGTCTGCACAGTCACATTCAGTAACCCCTGCATGGAAATAGTAATAGTAGAGGTAGCAGTTTTTAGTCCTTGCAAATTACCTTCCTGTCCTGAGTTACTCATGGCTCAGGATGATCAAATAGCAAAGAATCTTTTTGCTTCTGGAGTAAGTATATTTTTTAATATTGTAATTTAGAGGTTGGACACAGTATTAGTGATATGTATAGTACATGACTATAAAACCATAAGGCATTATTTTCCTTTTGAATACACATTATACACGTCCAGAATTTTTGTGGTTTAAGCTACTTCCTGTGCAATATTTCCCAACTCATTTCCTTCCTAGTAAAGTAAGGGTGAATCTAAATAATTATAATGCCTTTGGTCAAATGGAAAAAGTGGTATGGAGCGATAGCACAGCGGTAGGGCATTTGCCTTGCACGCAGCAACATGGCTGACCCGAGTTCGATTCCTCTGCCCCTCTCGGAGAGCCCAGCAAACTACCGAGAGTATCTTGCCCGCACGGCAGAGCCTGGCAAACTACCCGTGATGTATTCAATATGCCAAACACAGTAACAACAAAGTCTCCAGTGGAGACGTTACTGGGCCCGCTCAAGCAAATCGATGAACAACGGGAGGACCATGACCATGACCATGACAAAAAGAGCAACAAAGACTGTATGATACTTCTGTAGTTTTTCACATTTTCACAATCCCATATTATTTTTGCAATTTTACATTGTTTTCATAATTTCTTATTTTCACATATTTATTTTGTGTTCATTCAAACCTCCTTGTTTTTCAGTACAAAAATGTAGAAACAAGAAGTACTCATTTCACAATTTTGTAGTGCCAACACATAAGTTTAGAGAAACATAGATGGTTGTAATTCATGTTAGTGGAGTCTCTTGATTTAAATTTTGTATAATAATTATTGAAGTTTGAATTACTGAGTTTTGTCTCTTTTTATTGGCTATATTAACAGCAATAGCAAGTATTTACTTGCCTAAGGATTTTTATTAAGGGAATAGAATGCATGAATCAACAGCGAGCTATTATGTTTACATTAAATGTTTGAATACAAAAATTTATTATATTAAGTGTATTTGATTGTAGAAAATGGCCATTTAGAAAAGAGCTCAATACCTAAAATGAAAGAATAATTTGTGTGAATGTTGATCGTATACTACCTAAAAATGTTCAAGTAAGAGAGAGCCACCATTTAGAATACTACATTTTAAAACAACTTGTGTTTATTACATTGCTGTAATTAATTTTGGGGGGAGGGGTAGTTGTAAAGTGATTCAGGAAAATGAATATTTAATTATGCAAGTGGCGGAGATGCCTAAAATTATCTCAAATTCAAATGCATTAAATTATTTCACTCATTTTATATAGGTGCTCAAAATGTTTCCTCATAGCTGTGGCAGTATTAGAAATATCACTCATGATAATTGGTTTTATAAATAGAATTTCTGGGTTTGAGGAAGAGAGTCTTAGAGAAATCGGTCAGGAAGTTTCACACTTAGAGTTTTTATCAAAAACTGCCCTCTACCCTCCCTAGTTTGACAGCTCTTTCTCAGTCATGAGTCCTCAATTTTGATCATTTTGTTTTTTTTTTTTAAAGCAGAAGCCTAATTCGGATTTTGTATTCTCTCTTTAATAGTCTGATACATACTTCTGCATGTCAATGCGTTTGCCAACGGAGGAGGAAGCCTTCGTGAGTAAGTATTCACTGAATGATGTAGGGAGATGGACACTTGAAGGAAGGGCAGCTATTTGAGATCAGTGAACGGTTCTCTTTGATGGTTATGAGCATATTAATCTCTTACTGTCAGTTCCTCACATGCATTTATCATGCCTAATGCAGAAACAAACTAGAGCGAGCTACCAAGAGACAAGATTGCAAACTGTATCTGGGGAGATTCATGAGTAATAGCAGTTACTGGGTTACGTGTGAATATCCAAAGGTGACATTGCCGTGGTCCTGTTTGTATGCTATTGGCTTTATGTCCGTGGCTGGGTGCTTAATTCTGCTCCACTCAACACACTGTATTTACCTGCTGGTTCATGTTCTAAATCAAAACCATTTAGAATAAACATTGGGAAATATAAAATATTTGCCTGTCTGACCCATAGTAAGAAAGGAAGGTAGGGAAAGAGGGAGGAGAGAAGAAAGAATGAAAAGAGACAGAAGGAATCTTAGTACTGTTGTTTATGTTACAGAATAAAAGAATATTCAAATGGCAGTCTCTTTTCCAAGTGAGACTTTTAATGCAATAGGGGAAAAAAATGACAAAGCACCATCTGTTTTCATCTTGGTTGTTTTAATTTGAATGTCCCATATGACAGACTTTTATCTGTGTAGGGAGGAGGTACATTGATAAATTATTCATGGATTCATGCATCTCCACTCCACCACACGCTTCACGGTTCTGGTTAGAGATGTTGATTTTGGAGAGAAAGTGATGATAATGAGAATTGTACATGGGTCTCTTGAAACTGATATTCAAGTGGGCTGCCTGAAAAGGCTATTATGTGAATTGTAAAATGCCGTCAGTAGCCTTGAGGTCATCCCAGGATGAATTTTCATGAGGTGTTCCCCATAGGAAAAGACATTATAAACCTGCAAAGCCAGAAAAATGTGCTTTTATGTTTTTTCCACACACTTTGGTGGCAATCAAAACAGAAACAAACAAAGTAGGCCATAATAGCATTATTTAAACACAATTGCTCCCTGGTAGATCTAAGAATAGAAGTCATACTTTAGTCTGCCTCTTATTTTTTTTATAATATTTGAACATTACTAAGAGAAGAGATAGGAAAGGCAGTACTCCTAGATTTGGAGAAAGAAATCATCTGAGTTCCTAATTTCAGTGTCGTAACTACCACTTTCTGTAACACCAGATATAATTTAGGGTTATAAATGCATCCTTGAAATATTAACACTAAGGCTTTCATAGGCACATTTGGTGCCCTGGGAAAAACTTACTCCATACCATAAAAAGATATTTCACACGAATGTTTGTTTCTGGTTTCACATCTCCCTCCTGCCCCCAAGTTCAGGATATTTTGATTTCTCCTATTTCACACTTGCTTTAAGGGGAAGGTCATTCTCTATACCTGCATACATGGGATTGTCATATTCTATAGCAAGATTATACATCTCTCAATTGATTGGTTCCTGCTTATTCCAGGGGGTGGTGGTAGTATTGATTTCAAGGATGTTGACACTAGAATTATAAATATATGGAGTGTGAGTACTGCTCTCCTAATTAAATGTAGTTTGCTTTCTTGTAAATGGAAATTGAAAAGTAAAAGTGAGTTTACTCAATCAAGAGAACTATCCACAGGAAACTCATAAAAGGGTCTTTGAGAAATACTGTGCAGAAAGTTTCAGCATTGTTTTAGGCAGCTTTTTTCTAATATTAAGCCATTACCATTTCCAATGTGTTTAAAATATATTTGAAGATTAATAGCTATGTTCATTATTTCTTCTTTATTTTTGTAATTTTCTAAATTACATGGGTATGAGAGATTTCGTCACATGTTCAAAAAATTCCTGTTTCATCTTTCAGTTTGCGTTCTGTAATGTGCTGTATTCCCAAGTAATTTGTGGCTATCATTCTTTGCATAATCCAGTAAACACAAAAATTTAGGTCTTGATAAATTAGAACTAGAAAATTAAAAACCAGAGAGAAGTACCATTCATTTATGGAAGAAGTTTAAGTAAGGTAAACATTGCACACATTATCTCATTGATTTTTAGCTCTGCCTGTACAGAAATAGGAATATGTGTGTCTTTGTTTTAATCAGGTGGTAGGGCTGTACATTTTTTGAAATCCTTGTTTATATACTCGTCTTCCCATCGGCCATGGTTTGCTTATCTTAGAGGCAGACACTCTAACATACTAAAAGCTAAACTTTTTAAAGCCATTTTACAGAGGAAAATCTGACCCAGGCTTTTTACTAGCTGTGTGTGACCCTACTTGGATGTCCTTTAAATCATGATCGTGAGGATAGTGACATAGGGCGAAATGAGAGAAGTTGCTACGTGGATAGATAGTTGGAGATGAATTCAGTACAACATTAGTATATTGTGATCATCCTCATAACAAATACTAGTATTTCCTACCTGGGAACAGAACTCTGGATAGTTCTACAGTGCAATAAAATAAACCGCAAACTATTTTCCAAAATAAAACCCAGTCCACTTAGGATTTGGTGATGTGCAGAGAAAAGAGGACTTGGGTGTGGATGTGTTTGTTTGGTGACTTCTCTTAGCTTTCTCACTCCCAGAGTGGATATTTCGCTGTGACTCACCCAGGCTTTGCCACAATGAGCCATTCTGTAGTTTTCCCCCAAGTCTGGATGCCTAATCCTAAAATTAAATATAATTAAAAATGTGGATCTGTGAAGATCTATAGTAATTAACTTTCTGAAGTCACTTGCCCTTTAACTTTACACTTTCACTTTTAGTATCTGTGCCTTTGAAAATCTGAAAACCAGCAGGCTATATATTACTATACTGTAGGAATCAATCACTGCTTTATCCATGAGTAAACTCTAAGAAGTTTTGTTTATCAGCCATTTCCTAAGTCAACATGTCACATACTAGACAGTATTCCTTTCAATATTAAACTAGAATATTTTTAGTACAGTGGGAGAATCTCTTAATTTTAAAAAGTCACTTGTTTATAAATTCAGCAAGCTTGTAGGGGTTTTTTTCTGTTTTTTTTTTCTTTTATTTTATTAGTGAAGCACCATGAGGTACAGTTGCAGATTTACAAATCTTTGTGCTTGGGTTTCGGTCATACAATGATCAAATACCCATCCCTCCACCAGTGCCCATTTTCCACCACCATGGATAATATCCCCCCCACCCCCCCTCCCACCCCGCCTCTGTGGCAGAGCATTCCCTTTTGTTCTCTCTCTCCTTTTGGGTGTTGTGGTCTGCAAAAGAGGCATCGAGTGGCAAACATGTTCAGTCCATAGTCTACTTTCAACATGCATTTCGCCTCCTGGGAGGATCCTCCAAACACCCTTTATTTGGTGCTCCCTTCTCTATCTGAACTGCCCTTTCCCCTAGAATACCCGGCTGGCCTCTAAGCTATGGAGTAATCCTCCTGGTGTTGATCTCAGCTATTCTTGGGTATTAATCTCATATTTTGTTGCTTTATATCCCCCAGATGAATGCAATCTTTCTATGTCTATCCCTCTCTTTGACTCATTTCGCTTAGCATAATACTTTCCATATTGTACCACTTGTATGTAAATTTCATGACTTCATCTTTTCTAAGGGCTGCATAGTACTCCATTGTGTAGATGGACCAAAGTTTCTTTAACCAGTCATCTGTTCTTGAGCACTCAGGTTTCTTCCAGTTTCTGGCTATTGTAAAGAGTGCTGCAATGAACAAACAAGTGCAGATGTCACTTCGACTACACATTTTTGCCTCTCTGAGGTATATTCCCAGGAGTGGTATCGCTGGGTCAAATGGGAAGCTTGCAGTTTTAATATGTGCCAGTTACCAGGCTAAGTGAGAATGTAAGTGTTCAAAAAAAACCATCCACTGGCAGAGTGCTAGAAGACAAGAATACAAAATATTGCAACATAGGAAAAGGACCTTCCGATTTAGCTTTTCAGGTTTCTGAAGAAAATCACACAAGACAGAGAACAATTCATATTACTTATGAGACTATAAAAAACTCTCTTGATGGTTTAAGACTGCAAATTGAATTTTGAATAATTCAGGCTTGGTGCATATGTGACTAATTGTAGAACCCTTTTCAGAGAAACACATTTCTCTATTTTTAGAAAATACCATCATAATAGACATGGAATTTAGCTATCCGTATGCCTCTCGTATTGCACATGATCCCACACAACGCACTGGATGGTTCACGTCTCTGTATTGATTCATTAAATGTGAATTAAAGTAGGTATTTGGGGAAATACTTTAATGAAGATGAGTGCCATTTTTATATTTTGAATAAAATAATACCTTTCCCTAGTGCATTGCTTTTGTTTATTGTTTTAATAAGAAAAATCACAGTTGGGCTGGAGGAAGGTGTGATCAAATCTGCATTTGGCCACTGAACTGTGATGCTGTCTAAAAGGTGTTTTACAGACACTCGGAGGAATTGGCTCTGACAAGAACTCGCTCAGCCAGGAAATTTGACTGTCATCTCCATCCACTTGCTTTTCTTCACATGGATGACCAGTAAATAAATGTATCTTTTCCTTAGTGAATGATGGCAGGTCTCTATCTATCACCTTGCACTGTACAAATGATTTAGAAGCCATTGGATTTAGAAAGAGATCAAAATTAATCTAATGATTCATTGCTTTTCATTTTCCTGGGCTTCTCCCTTGAATATTGAACACCTTTCATGCAGAATTACACAGTTAGACTTGAATATTTCCAATATGCCATTTCTTAAATAAACCCCATCTGAAGGTGATATGGGGGAATTTCAAACCATGTTGGTCCAGCCTGATTTGAATCACTCTTATGGGTCATTAGATCCTATGACCATAAAGAACAAGGTTTGGGAGGGTGGAGTGCTCACCTATCCCCATGGCAACTAGGACAAGGAGGAAGAGAGAAGACAGAGATGGTGCAGGGGTGAGCCTTGCAGTCCTATTGACTTTCTGCTGCCAATTAGTGGGCGGCTCGTCCTTTTCCTTCTCCAAATGAGTATTGCAGTCTCCGTCTCTCCCAAG